GCGGGGCGGGCCCGCCACAGGGAGAGGTGGCCACTGGGCAGCGGGTGGACCTCGGACTCTAATCCCCAGCAGCTGCTGTTTCCCTCAGATCGATTCCTTTCTCACTTTTTTTTTTCAGCTGCCGGTTCCGCGGCTCGGATCGATGGAGCTGCCTCCCCCACCCCTCTGAGCTTCCCCTCCCTGCTGCTCATTAGTGCCCCGATTAATCAGCCCCCCCTTTCCTCTAGGGGACGAGTACCTCCTCTCCCATGAGGGCTCTCGCTCTCACACGCCCCCCCCCGCCAGCACAAGCTGCTCACGGTGACCACCCCCACCCTGGGGGCACCCAGGCATCACCTCCTCTCTGCCGGCCACCAGGGGCCCCATCCCTGCCTGTGATAGCAGCCCGCATGCCTGCTTCCCCTCCGCCAGGAGGCAGCCACCCCAGGGCTCCCCTGCCCCCCTGCCAGGCGCCCCCTGTATCCCTTTCCCTAGGACTGCGTTCCTTCCCATTCAAGCACAGCACCTCTCTGCTCCCTCCAGCACCCCCATGTGGGCTCTTCTTGACCTCCGTTCCACACCCTCTCACCACATCACACCTCCTCTGCTCCCTGGCCTGTCCACCCAACACGCGCCCCCAACCTCTGGCCTGGCAAGGGATTTGGGAAACATTTGGCGAAGCAAAGCGGCCACAGATGTGCAAGTCAGCCAGGGTGCCCTCCGTCCCAGACACTCGGGAGACTGAGTTTCGGGGGTGGAGGTGAAGTCGGGGAGAGGGCGGCCAGCATCCCAGAGGGGGCAGGGGTATGGTGGGTGTTAAGTCGGGAGCAAAGCTGTAGGGAAGCCAAGAATCTTGGTGGAGCCACCATTGTCCCCTTGTCTGTCTCGCCTGCCCTTCTCTGCTCTGCCCTCCCCTCCCCTCCCTCATTCAAACAAGTGGCTCTCCCAAGGAGTTTCTGGAAGCCGCCGTGAGTCGGGTAGTGGGGTCAGGTGGTGGCTGGGTGGCTGCAGTCAGGAGTCAGGGAGGCCAGGAGGTCGGGGATGGAGTCAGCTGACCCTTCCTGGGGTGCGGTCCAGAAAAGTGGCAGAATGAGCGAAGGACGCCGGGTGCAACCCTCCTCCCTGGGTGGCCTGGGAGTGGGGCCATGCGGGGGCCCCACGAGTGGCTAGGGTGTAGCAAGAGTTTGGGGCTATCCCGACGAGGTCTCAGGCAGCAGGGATGGGGGATCGCTGTCCCGGGCTGGGGGCTGCCCCCTCCCCTGGCCTGGCTCCTGTCGCCCGTGCCGCCGGTGAAACGCTGTTGACATGTCCTGAATTATTAAGCACGGGGTGGGCTCCGGAGCACATGCTGAGCGGAGCGGCTGGGGCTGCGCGGCGTGGTGGAGCAGCACTCGCTCCCTCGCTCCCTCGCTCCCTCGCTCGCTCGCTCGCTCGCTCGCTCGCAGGGACACACGCAGGGGCTGACAGCTGTGCCGGTGCTGATAAGGGAAGCCACAAGGAGACGATCGAGGAGAGACAAGCGGCGGCAGAGGCGTCAGCGGCAGTGGCAGCGGCAGCGGCAGCGCCAGGGCTGCGGAGTCGCCGGGAGTGGGAGTGACTCCCCCACCTCAGGCCCCCACCCTGTCCCCGTCCTCTTCCCGTTTGCCCTGAGTTTAGAAGAGCAGCCGCTGCCCCCGCAGCCACTCCGGAGGGCACCGGGGGCTGCTGGCCAGGGAGGGACAGGGGCAGGTAGGCTCCAACCAGTCCCAGCAGCTGGGCACAGATGCCGATCGAGATTGTGTGCAAAATCAAATTTGCAGAGGAGGATGCGAAACCCAGGGAGAAGGAGGCAGGGGATGAGCAGAGCCTCCTGGGGGCCGCGCGGGGGGCGGCAGCCCCCCGGGACCTGGCCACCTTTGCCAGCACCAGCACTCTGCACGGGCTGGGCCGGGCCTGTGGCCCAGGACCCCGTGGACTGCGCAGAACCCTGTGGGTACTGGCCCTACTCACCTCGCTGGCTGCCTTCCTGTACCAGGCGGCCGGCCTCGCCCGGGGCTACCTGACCCGGCCTCACCTGGTGGTAATGGACCCGGCTGCCCCAGCCCCAGTGGCGGGCTTCCCGGCCGTCACCCTCTGCAACATCAACCGTTTCCGGCATTCGGCACTCAGCGACGCCGACATCTTCCACCTGGCCAATCTGACCGGGCTGCCCCCCAAAGACCGGGACGGGCACCGTGCCGCTGGCCTGCGCTACCCGGAGCCCGACATGGTAGACATCCTCAACCGCACTGGCCACCAGCTCGCGGATATGCTCAAGAGCTGCAACTTCAGCGGGCACCACTGCTCCGCCAGCAACTTCTCCGTGGTGAGTCCTGCCAGCCAGCCCGCCCAGCCTGGGGTGGCCAGAGGCTAGCGGTGGGGGAGGGAGTGGTGCGCAGGGCATCCTCACCAGGGCTTCCCCTCCTGCCGCCGCCAGAGGCTGGCCTCGTGTCGCCCCCATGGCCGGTGTTGCCCTCGGGCTGCCCAGCATGGAGCAGTGGACGCTCGTGGGGGCTTACCGTGCTGCTGCCGCCACTCTCTTCGGGCTCTGCCGCAGCTGCAGAGCCTAGGTTTGGGGGCCGAGGGTCCTGGAGTGGGCCCGGGGGCCCAGAAGCTGGTCAGCTTGCAGGGGAGGGATGCACCACGCCACAGCCAGACCAAGTGAGCCCCGGTTTTCTCTTGCTCTCCTTTTCTTCTGTGGCCACTGGATTCTTCTCCCCACCCAACAAGGGTGATGGGGAGAGGGTGTTCTGGGGGCTCCAGCAAAGGAGGGACTCAGGGCCGCCTCTGGGGGAGCTGGCCCGGCAGGCAGGCTGGACAGAGCCGATCTTCGCGTACACTGGGTGCCAGTGTCTCTTATGTGTCTCTGTGTCTCTCACACACACCCCCTTTCACTGACTCCCTTACACATCCCTCTTTCATGCTGCCCCTCCAGCTTCTCCCGCTTTCCAGGCCCTCCCTCTGTTTTCTGGTTCTTGCTGCCCCCTTGCCCGGCTCTGGCTCTTACACTGAGGGTCACTCATTCACTCTTAGGTGCATGGCTCACCCTCACTGCTGCCCAGTACACACACACACACACACACCCCTACCGCATGGGGACATGGCTTCCTGCACACTCTCTCACACACACTCAGTGTCCCTGTCACTACACTCACGTGCACACCTGCACACCCACGCACCCAGAGAGCTGCTCATCCCCGTGCCCACATCCCAGCTCTTACTAAGCTGCTGAGGACAGGGTCACACCATGGATGCCGTCCCCTCTTGTGACACCCCCACCTGCCTCAGCCCCTGCTCCCCATCTCTCACATATGTGCAAACACACACACACACTTTCACGAGGAGTGGAGTGGAGTGGAGTGTTGGCTTGGGCTACCCTCCCATGCACACCTCCCACAATCGGGTGTGTGTGGGGTGTGTGTCTTGTATGCTGTCTGTCTGTCTGTCTTTCGGTGCTCCGTTCACCCATAGTCACAGGCTGTCTATTATTCCTGGTGCTTGAGTTGCTGTCCCCAGTCCACAGTTTACCCCTGGCATTGTGTACATGTGGTGTGTGTGGGGTGTGTTTTCATTCTTGTGACCACCGCCCAGCGCATGTGCAAATACATGGCATCGACGTGGTGCCGATCCAGCCCAGCCTCCAGCGCCAGCCCCAGATGGGGACCTTTTCCTTCTCATGGCCTGGTGCCCGCACCCGGGCTCTCATTCACTCACTGCCTCAGTAGCACCAGGAAACATGCTTCACCCGTGTTCCTGCCCCCACCATGCCTGCAGCCTCGGGGTCCTCCTGCCATTGGATGGCGGGAGTTGCGTAGAAATGGAGGAAGGGACAAGAAGGAGGATGTGCTGGGAGAGGAACCGGGGCGGGGAGGGGATGGCAGGGGCCTGTTGTCCAGCTGCACGCCCCTTCTTCCAGGAAAAAAATCAACGCTCTCAAAGCGATTGTCCCTAAGGAGCAGTGTGTGAATATGGCCTTTTGGGTCCGTGGGGCTCCTCTGTGAGACATCGTCACCCCTGAGTTTTGCGGGTGGGGACAGATCCCGTGTCAGCAGGTGCTGTTGGGGCAGAAATCAATGGGGGCTTTGTGTCCCTGAGTGGGAGTTTGTGTCCCAGGCCCCGGTGAGGGGTGGAAGGGCAAGAGGAAGAGTAATGAAGCCTCGGGGGGTCAGCAAACTATGGCCTTCAGGCCAAAGCTAGACTGCAGCCTGTTTTTACATTTTTTAAGGGAAAGAAAGAAAATAAAGGAGACAAAGGGGAAGGAAAGGGAGGGGAGGGAAGGGGAGGGAGAGAAGAAAAAGAAAGAAAGGAAAGCAAAGAAAGAAAGGGAGGGGGGAGGGGAGGGGAGGGGAGGAAGAGATGCAGGGGCAAGGAAGCAAGGTGAGGGAGGCAGGGGGTAGCTGCCTGGCCTCCAGGAAAGGAGGAGGTGCCTGGAGGATATGGGAACAGGGAGCCTCCTGATTAAAGCTGGCGAGTCCCTCTGAATCTCGGGATGGCCAGGCAGAGGTGAGGGTGGACATCCCACAGGCCCTTTCATACCCTGAGGATGGAGAGAAAAGGACAGAAGTCTGTGGGTCTCTGCTCTGGGGCTGCAGCAGGACAATGAGGGGCAGAGGAGCAAAGCAAGCACGGGGGGCCAGGGATTCCCCTTGGACCCACCTGTCCCCTGGGGAATTCCTGTCCCCCCCCCCGCCCCACTCAGCCTAGTCCCCATACCCTTCTGCCCAAACCCCAACCCCCATGTGCTGAGTGTAACTCTCCCTTGGACCTGGCATTCTAAGGCTGAGTCTGCTGCCAGTTTACAAGGGTCTCGGATTATGGTTGGGATGGGATGATCCACAGTAACGGGGAAGATGGGGGTGTACTGTGTGGGCAAGACTGGAGAAGGGGTATGGAGACAAAGACATCAGGGGTCTCTGATGAGGACATGAGGTCCACAGTAGACTCCGTGGTGAGAATATGGAGCCCATGATGGGGATTTGGGATCGATGGAGGGGTGATGGGTGCAGGAATCAGTGGTGGGAACCTGCCAGGGCACGTGTGCTGAGATGGTCAGAGACAACAACGCGCTTTGGGGAAGGTATGTGTTTTCTGTTGCTTTCCCCATTTCCTCCTTCCCACTCCCCACTCTGCTGTGACCTTTCTTCCGGAATCCAAGTTAATAAATGTCACATTTTCCAGCCTATTTTTACTCCGGGTAAAGTGCCCTCCCCCAGTCCCCTCAGCTGCCGCTCTTGCTTCTGTTACCACTGCAGTCGCTCTCACCCCCATGCTCCCTAATATCCCCTCACTGATTCCCGATCAGTCACTCAATCAACACAGAGTTCTGAGCACCTAGTACGTGCCAGGCTCGCTGCCAGGTGCTGTGGTGAACAAAGAAGGGGAGCCCTGGTCCCCAGTCCCTGTCCTCAAGCAGCCTCCAGTCTTGTGGTGGAGCTGGGATGGGGACACTTAAAAAGCTTAACCAATCGAAGAGTTAACCAGCCATGCAAGCAGTGTCAGGAGGTGCCGGGATTAATTGCCAAACGAGGTTACATGGATAGTAAGAGCCTGGGTTCAGAGAGAGAGGCCATTCTGGGCTGAAGAGGGCTGGGAAGGCTTAACGGATGAAGCAGGCTGGGCGAGGTTTGGAGAGGAGGGGAGGGGAGAGAGGCGAGAGTAGAGGACTGATGCTTCCACCTCTCCACCCATATGCCCCTCCACCCAGCTCACCCCATCTCTTCTCTTTGCCTCCCCCCTCCTCACCCAGTCTCATACCAGCCCACTCCCACCTCCACCACCACTTATATGTTCTCTCTCTTCCTCCTCAATTCCTACCGCCATCCGCTCCCCCAGCCCAGCGCGCCAAGCCCCATCTATACTTTCCCCCGTGCGGCTGCTCTCAGCCTGCCCACTTACTAGAAGGCAGAAATCACTCTTTCTTCCTAGGTTTCGTTTCTTCAGCTGTAAAATGTGGCTCTAAATTCTAGTGTCTCCTCTCAGCTGGGGACTGTATGGTGGAGTGGTCAAGTGTGTGGGTTCTGGAGCCAGACGGTCTGGACTCAAACCTTGGCTGGGTGGCCTTGGAGAAGTTAGCTTCTGTGAGCCTCAGTTTCTGTATTCATGATACAGAATATTAGAACCTAAAAAAATTCGGGTGGTTGTGAGGATTAAAAGAGATGGCTGTAAAGGGCGTAGCACACTGCCTGGCACACACATCATGTGCACTCAGAGTGTCAGCTGTTAGAAATGCCACCACCCCAACTCCTGGCTCTCTTTAACCTGACTGTTCTCAGCACCACCTGCTGTTTTCCAACCTATGTGCTGGCATCTTCGCTAGTCTCCATCACCCAGCCTTCCTCCTCTCTTGACCCTCAAGCCTCCGCCCCCCACCCTATTATAGCATCCCCACGCTTCCCAACCCTCCCCAGTATTCAGGCATGCGTGTGCATGTGTAGTAGGGCATACACCTGAGACCGGTGCTGTCCCACAGAACACTCTGTGATGATTTAAATGTCCTGCATCTGCACTGTCCAACGTGGTCATCACTAGCCACACAGGCCAGTGAGCATCTGCAGTGTGATTAGTGTGACAGAGAGAATGAAGGTTCTATTCAAACAGCGGAGTGTGGCCAGTGGCTGCCATATCAGACAGTGCTGCTGTAGGTGGTCCTGGGGACGTGGTTCAGGTTGCCAGGTTGGGCAGGGCTAGGCTTTCCAACTGGCATCAAAGGATATAAAGTGATGGTGGTGGGCTGTGATCAGAAGTCCGGCCATCTACTCTCCGGACTGAGGTCCCCAGTTGAGCTGAGGATGGGGCCTGTGTCTGGGGAAATCGAGGTGTCTGGAAACACCACGCGAACAGATACACCTTTCTTCCCAGGTGCAGGACGTGACCTTGGTCTTTTCCATTCTATCGTCTGGAAAATTGAGGCATGGGGAAGGTAGAGGATCCATGAGGAGGCAGGGGGAGGGCCAGCCCCTCTCTGTGTGGTCCTCCGGGCTCCAGGCAGCCCCTGGAGGGGCAGGTGACCAGAGACCTGTGGGCGCTTCCCTGTTTCTATCCCCTCGCGGGCTCTCAGCCTTCCCTCCCCGCCTCCCAACCCTCCTTCCCCACGCGCTGGTGACTGCCATGACTATTAATCACTCGCCCTGTTCTCTTCCTCTCTGCTAATCAGGCACAATTAGACAAGGCCTCTTCCAGCTGGGCAGTCCTCCTCCCTGCCCCCTTCCCTCCTCTCCCAGCCCCACCCCAGCTCAGTCGGGATGGCTCTGAGGCAGAGGGAGCTGCGTGCCAGCCCTCCATCACTCTCTGGCTCCCCCAGCCCACAATTCCAGGCTCCTCCGCCAT